CCCTCTCCCCCTGCCACTGGACAACCTGTGCAAGCCTGTGCTTAGAGTTTGTGGAAAGCAAGAAACAGAAGAAAAAGTGGGCTGGCTTAGCAGCAGGAACCGCCTGTCCCAGGAAGTTCTGTAGGGCGGCGGGCTGCCCCAGACTCTCCTGAAGATGGTCCCAGGCTGTCAGCCCGTCAGACTGAACGTGCTCCCGGAGGGCAAGGCATCCAGACCCCTGGGGTGGAGCTGGGTTTGGCTTCAACCTCAGGTGCCCAGAACTGGGGCATTTCACAACCCCTGGTTCACGCATGCTCTCATGTGGTCCCTGCATGGCCAACTTTTATTACGTAGTCATTTCACATTAATTTGTATCTAATTTTTAATAATGCAGCAAGCACCTGCAAACCCATCACCGTGTTGAAAGCCAGGACTTGGTAAAAATCCTCTGACTCTGAAGTGTCCCTCATGAGCTCACCGCCTTCCTCCTCTACTAAAGGCAACTGCTCTCCTCACCCATCTGTCATCTGCTTCCTTGTTTTTTGATATATTTTTATGCATTATTCCTTTAAAAGTTTATATTTGTATTTTAAATGTTTTTAACCTATTGAAATATGCTGTATGTAACCATTCTAGGTTTTTCTCTTTTCACTTACTGTGAGATCCCTAATAGTCTTCCATATTGTTGTGCATTGCTGGGGGTAATTCGTTTTGGCCGCTGTATGTTTCAGAGTGGGACCGTGCCTCCTGAGGACCGTTGGGGTGGTCGCCAGCTTTGCTCTCATGAACAGCATGGCTAGAATGTTCTTATCCCTGTCTCCTGGGGCCAGGTACAGGAGTTTCTCTTGGGCGGACAAGTATAGGAGTGGAAGTGCTGGGTCAAGGCTATGCGAACCTCTTCCTCTTACAGCTGGGGAAACAGAGGCTCAGAAAAGGAAGACACTTGCCTCGGTTCAAGTGAATGGCAAGGCTGGGCTCCCCTGCATTGTGGCAGGTAGACTGGCAAGTGTTTCCTGAGCATCAGCTCTGTGGCAGGTGCTGCGGCTGGAGATACAGAAATGGATCAACCCCACACCCTGCCCTGGAGGAGCCCTTGGTCTTTGGACGGGTTGAGTAAGGGACAGGATGGGGAGAGGGGTGCCTAGAGAGAGACCCAGAAGCACAGCAGCAGTGTTACTTGTGCAGCTAATGAGGTGAGCACAGTGGGGGCACTCAACTAAGCCCACACTGGAGAAGGCATCAGGGAAGGCTTCCTGGAGGAGATGACATCTGCACATAGAACAGGACAGGGAACATGAGCTCCAGGGTGGGGATGTGTGGTGGAGAGGGCATTCCAGGCAGAAGGAACAGTACAGATATCAGTTCTGAAGGATGGTGCAGCTATAAGTTCAGAAGTGGAGGGAAGGGAGGACAGGATTGTCTCACCGACCTTGGCTCATGGCACGCTCTCATGTGATCTGTGCAGGCCTGCTTGTATTTCTATAGGTGCTTAATGAATATTTGACCTGGAGCCTCCCCAGTGTGGAGGTACTCCACCCACTTATCTGTCCCCTCCACATGGGGGCTTCTCTCCCACAGCTGGTGGTCTATGAGAAGGAGAACTTCCAGGGCCGCAGCGTGGAATTCTCCGGAGAGTGCCTGAACCTGGGAGAGCGCAGCTTCGACCGAGCGCGCAGCATCATTGTCACCTCAGGACCGTGAGTATTGGGTGGGGGAGGAGCACTCCTGCTGCCATAGTGAAGTAATAATAATAAAACAATAGCAGCTGCCACTTACTGGGGTGCCTGCCTTGTGCCTGCCACCGTGCTAGTGGAGACACATCTATTATTTCCACTCCTCATGTCAAACCCGACAGGGAGGTATGATTCTCCTTCCCATTTTACAGATGAGGAAACTGAGGTTCAGAGAGGTGATTTGCATGTGGTCACACTGACAGAAAGTCAAGATTCTGGGCTCCAGAGAAATGCTGCTTCCATTGTAGAGGGAGCCCTGGACCATCACAGAGGGCAGGAGGAGACCAAAGAGCCAAGTGTCCACCAGCTGTCCCCTGTCCTGGACAGCCGAAAGAGTAGTGATAAGCATCTGTTGAGCGCCCGCTAGGTGCCAGGCACTGACTGAGGGCTTTACCTAAATGATCGCTGTATGAGGGAGGGGCTGTTCTTACCTCCATTTGAGTGATGGGGAAACTGAGGCTCAGAGGGTTTAAGTCCCTTGGCCAAAGTCACCTAGTGGTAAGTGACAGAGCCTGGATTCAACTCAGGTTGATCAGTTTCACCAACATGCTTTTGTCACCAAGCCCCGCGGCCTGCCTCTGACTCTCTGGGCTGCTCTGGGCTTAGTGACCCCCATATAAGCAGGAACATGTGTCCCTTGGACATAGTGACTGCACCAGCTTCAGCCCCTGTGGCCTGAGCTCAGGGTGCAGGGCCAGCCCCAGCACAAGATCAACATGGCCCCTTTGCCTCTTGTTTCTCTAGCCCCAAAGCCCCGCCGGGGTGTGGTCAGCCTGGATGCCCAGCATCCCGGGGCTCTTTTCAGTACAAAGAGCAGAGATGGCTTTGAGGTCAGACAGGCCTGGGTTTGAGTCCCATCTCTCCCTTTTGCCTTATTCAGTCTATGAGCCTCAGTTTCCTCATCTCTGGAATGGGAGAATAACAGTTCCCACTACTCTCCACTGGATTATTCTGAGGCCTGAAGGAGATAACGCAGCATGGGCCTGGCGCTTTGTGGATGCCCAAACATGGCAGGCGACAGTGATGATTATTTCCTTCCCCATTGCCCTGTAAAATTTAGCCAAGTCACCCTGGTCCAGGGTAGGTGGGGGGCAGGGAGCATTTCTACCTCCTGCACCCACCCCCACCTCCGGTGTGGTCAACACAGCCTTAGCCCCACCCCAAAGCCCAGCTGGGAACAGAAGCTGCCAGATGTGGCCAGTTTGGGTTTTCAGGCTTTTTTTGGGGGCCAGTGACTCAAACCCAGAGTATTTCTCCTCAAAACAAAGATGCAGCTGATCTTTGGTGTGTGCTTTGGGGCTGTGCCTGATGGGGAGAGAAAAGAGCCTGTGGTCCAGGGCCCTGGGTCTGTGTCAGGACCAGCAGGGCTGTAGGAAAAACAGTGGTAGAAAAAAGATGGAGAGGATGAGGTAGGCAGGGAAGGGGAAAAGAGGTGTGTCCCCAGCACGGGGGTGGGGAGGGGAGGCATGCCTGCCTGAAACCTAGGAGCCTTCAACCTGACACCAGATACCATCGTGTGACCTTAGACAGGTGACTTAACCTCTCTGAGCCTCAGTTTCCCTATCTGTAAATTAAGATTTCTGTCCTACCTCTCTCCTTGCTTGTAAGGCTCAGATGAGCCCTGGGAGAAGAGAAAAGGCACTGAAATAAATATTTAAAATTCCTGACTCATATAACAGGTCCTCACTGGGCATTATGTTTCCTGAAGAAGACAGGGAGTTTTTTGGGAGAGTGGGCAAAGTGGTTAGACCGCATCAGTGTCTGTCTTTCTACAGGCTCAGATGTCCAGCAGCTTCCGTGTCTCTTTAATCATAAAAGATATTATTTATTGTGCCTTCTCTGTGCTGGACTTGTTCCCTGCATTCCCCTTTTAGACCCTCATAACCTCCTGACAAGGTAGATGCAATCATTTCTTCTCTTTTACTGAGGCTTAATGGGCTTAAGTGACTTGCCAAAAGTCACACAGCAAATAAATGATGAGCTGGGATTAGAACTCAGGTCTGTCTGTTTTCAGAGTCGATCCTCTTAACTCCTACATGGTACCATCTTCCAAGGCTCTCTTCTCACCCACCCATCCATCTATTCATCCATCCATTCATCATCCATCTATTTACCCATTCATCTATCTATCCATCCGTCTATAGATCAGTTCATCCATCTATCTATCCATTCATTCTCCAACAATTTATTTATCTATCTGCTTACCTCTCCCTCCATCCATCCATTCTCCATCATCCATCCATCAATACATCCATCCATATATCCATCCATCTACCTATCTATCTGCCCATCTATCCATCTACCGCCCTATATATCCACCTATCCATCTATTCATCTTCTCATCCATTCAATCATTAATTCATCCATCCACCCATCCATCCATCCACCCATCCACCCATCCATCCATCCATCCATCCACCCACCCACTTATCCATTCATCTATCCATCCATCCATCCTTTTCTTATCTACTCCAGACCAGGTAGGGCTAAAGCAGATTCAACTCTATTCTGGGAGGATAACTCTGTGTCTTCAATTCTGTCACTCTAATGTGGGTTGGTTCATTCCTCAGACAAGGACCTGAGGCTTCTGGGCTGCATTCTGTTTTAGTCTGTGGTGGTAGCCCACACCCACCCCCACCCCATCTCCTTCTGGGTAGAGGAAGGTCACAGCAGCCCCCAGGGAAATGATATTAATGTCAGTGTCCCCTCAGCCCTCTCTTATTCCCTGAGACCTCCTGAACACATATAGAGCAAAGATCAAGGGCTCCCTTAGTCTCAGCCTTCTCATCTACGAAATGGGGATCATCCTATCTCCCCCAGAATCCCTGGCCCCTCTGACACAAGCTCACTTTCCACCCTTAATCAGGCTGCACTGGAAAATCCAGGAAAAACCCCCATTTGACTTCAGGCTTGTAATTAGTCCTTATAGAGGACTGATCACCTTCATATGCACGATCACATTTAATTCTCATAGGTATCTGAGAGGTGCTATGGCTATCATTTCCCTCCCACTGCCCCCACACTGATTACTGAGTGACTTCTGTATGCCAGGCCAGTCTTTACCAAACATATGATTCAAGCACCCGTATCAATTTTTCCCTTACCCCTGTACCTCCAGGACTATTTATTTAATATATTTCATTTTAAATGACCGTTTTTAACACAAATAAATATATTTTAAAAGAACCTTTACATCACTTTTACAAATGGAAAGCTAGTGTTCCTTGCTATGAGTAAAAGATATCCATAAAAAATTAATCCAATGAACACAAAGCAGTGCTATTGTACTATTGCTGGCTCAAGTCTTGGCTGGTAGCCTGATCTTCCTTTGTTGCAAAAAGAGATTAGTAAGTGTTAAAAGCACATTAGCATCCACCAGAGACTTTCTCCTAGCTGTAAGCAGGTTTAAAAGAAAAAATCTTCCTGTGTGTTCATTGGTCTCAGGTCCTTGTAGTACTTAAATCATACGTGAATGCTACCTCTGGGGAAACATTTTGGTCACATAATTACACACACTGTCTCGTTTAATCCTTCACCAACTCAAAGAAAATAGGCGTATCAGATGAGGAAACTGAGGCTCAGAGAGGTGAAGCCACTTGCCTGTGGTCACACAGCCAGTGAGTGGCTAGGATCAAACCTAGTGGCCTTAGGGCTGCCTTGCACGGGGGAGCTAAGAAGGTGAGTGAGGGTGAAGGGGCTTCTGCTAACGATTTCTCTCCTTTCTGCCTTTGTCCCTCCCGGCCGTCCCCACCCTCCCCATCCCTCTCGCATCCAGCTGGGTTGCCTTTGAGCAGTCCAACTTCCGGGGAGAGATGTTCGTCCTGGAGAAGGGCCAGTACCCGCGCTGGGACACATGGTCGAGCAGCTACCGCAGCGACCGGCTCCTGTCCTTCCGGCCCGTCAAGATGGTGAGTGGCTCCTGGGCCAGACCTGGGGGATGAGTGGGAAGGGCAGGGGCAAGTCTGAGGTCTGACATCAAGCAAGGGAACGGGAGTGAGCAAGGGAAAGAAGGAAGGAATGATGGGCAGGGAGGCACGGTGACCTCTGTGTTGTCCAAGGGCAGTGGGCTCTTGTGCTCATCCGTTCACAAGGCGTCCCTGCCACACTCACGGTGTGCCCAGCCTCTGCTAGGAGCCCTGGGCAAGTGAGATACACAAAACCCATTTTCGTCTTTCCCTGCTGCTATCAAGAAAGCAGTCAATCTCTCAGTGGTTGGAGCTAGGAACTTCACTGTCTTTCTTGATTCTCTTTGTGGAATGTTTCTAATTCCTGGCTGCACATTAGACCCTCCTGGGTAGCTTTGAAAATCCCACTGCCCATGTAAAACATCAAACACTGAAGTTTGTGCAGTGGCTGAGAAGAGGGATGCTGTGGAAACACACCTGATCTTGCTGATGATATGGCCATATACTGAATTAGCCCCTTTATAAGTTAAATAGTATACCTTCAAGACGTCTCAAAGCCTGGATAGGTGGCACGATCCCCAAGCAATTCACAGTTTTTCCAGAATCGTGTTGATTAGGGCTTATGAACCAACCGCCTCTTCACTCACCAATGTTAGTTTCCCGTGGTAACCAACTTCTGCCTTCCATGATGGGAATTTTCATGAATGTCCATTTGAGGCCATCAGGGGCCAACAGCCAGCTGTTTTGGCATCATCAAACTCACATTAACGGATGATCCAAGCAGATCGTTCCCAATGCTTTTCTCAGAATTTGAGGCTGAGTTATCAGCCTTTATAATGGACACTTTGTAAGAATTCATAGGTTTATCTCTCAATCATTGAATGGTCCTTACATGGCAACCGATGTCAAGGGAGGTTGTTTGGAAGAATGATCAGCCAGGACATTTCTAGAAGCTTCTAGAGCTTTGCTGTCCCTTACAGTCCACAGTAGCTACATGTGGCTGTTGAACACTTGAATTTTGGCTAGTCTGATTGGACATATGCTGTAAGGGTAGCATACATACCAGGTTTTGAATACATAGTAAAAAGGAAAAATAAGAATGTAAACGATCTCATTAATATTGTTATATTGGTTACTTATTGAAGTTATAATATTTTGGACATATTTGCATAAATAAGCTATATTATTAAGGAAAAAAATCCCAATGCCCAGACCCTCCCCAGACTAATTAAATCCGGGGCTGGTGCGCAGACACTGATATCTTTTCCACGCCCCCAGGTAGTCCCAGTGCAGCCAAGGCTGAGAGCCACCGGTCTAATCCCTCCTCTCTCTCTGCCCCCATCCTGGTGCTGACTGCCATTCTCTCTTCCCTGGGCAGCTCCAACTCCTTCCCTGCTGGGTTCCCTGACTCCTTTCCAGCCCTCTCTCCTGGGAAGTTGGAGGGATCTCTAACCTGACCATCTTCCACTTACAGTCATGCATTTGACCGCTATTGGTTGACCTGTTTCTACCAGGCTCTGTTGTAGGCTCTGGGTGCACAACTCTGCCTGGGACAGGCAAGGTCCTTGCCCTCCTGGGAGGCAGCTATTGAAAACCTAACCATGGAAATCAGTCTCCATTTGCAAACCATCATTGTACATGCTGCAAAGGGGCCGTGCCTTGTGTTAGGAGAGTGGGAGAGGGCTCTGATGTTGGGGAGAGGGTGGGAGCAGTCGGAGGGTGGTCAGAGAAGACAGCTTCCGAAGGATGGGAACAGAGTCAGCAATGTGAACAGCCTTCCAGGGAACCGTGAGTGCAGAGTTCCTGAAGCCAGAATGGACTGGGTGTGACCCGAGAACATAAAAGCAGCAAATGTGGCTGTGGCAGAGGGAGTGGAGGGGAGAGGAGTATAAAGTGGGATGGGAGGAATGAAATGCTTCTCTGAAAGGTTCTGCCCCTCGCTGGCTGTGTGACATTGGTCAAGAACCTTGACCTCTCTGAGCCTCCGTATCCCTGACCATAATAATGAAAATAATGAATAAATTTGTATTTTTGGAGCACTTGGTGTATGCCAGGCCTCATGCTAAGTGCTCCACATGCATTAGGTCATTTATTCCTCATGATAACTCTGTGAAATAGGAGCTGATATCCTCTTTTCACAGATGAGGAGGGCCCTTCCGGGCTGGACAGCGGCAATTCTGGGCGAGTCCCATGGTGGCCCGAGCACACTTGGCTCCCTCTCTCCACACCCAGGAGGCCCCGCTAAGCGACTTCTTGTTGCCCCGTTCACATTCACACACCTGACCCGGTCTCTCCTTCCCCAGGACTCCCAGGAGCACAAGATCTGCCTGTTTGAAGGCGCCAATTTCAAGGGCAACACCATGGAGATCCAGGAGGACGACGTGCCCAGCCTCTGGGTCCACGGCTTCCGTGACCGCGTGGGCAGTGTGAGGGTCTCCAGTGGAACGTAAGCCTCCCTCCCTCGGCTCCTGCTTCAAGCACAGACCAACTAGAGGCTGTCCCTCTGTCAGGAGATGGCCTCAGGTGCATAGGAAAGGCCCAGCCCCTCCCAAACTCTCCCAGTGCTGGTACCTGGGGCTCCACCGACAGAGCAGTATTCCTCCAGAGAGTGGATTCTTACTCTGATGAGTTACATGTCAGTGTAAACAAACCTGGAAATTGGTTCTAAAAAGCTGGAAGGTGGAGAGAATAGGGGTTTCTCAACCCAGATTGGGACTAGAGAAATAATTAAGTAAGGGGGGCAGAGCTGATGTGGGGAGATGAGTCTGATGTATCTAGGGAGAGAAAACATTCAGGGAAATCCGGAGCCTCTGGGGAAGTGAGCAGAATGGCATCTGAGAGGCGAGACTGTAATGAAAGGACCTTGACCCTGTCGTGATGTGCTGTGGAAGCCGGGTGAGCCCCTCTCTGCGTCTCAGTGTTGCCACCTATACAATGGGCACACCAGGCTCCTTGATGTAGAAGGGCCCTTTCTGCTCTGAACTCTCAGGATTTGAAGCTTTCAAAGCAGGGCCCCGTGACCGCATGTCCATAAGAACACAGCAAGGGCTGGATGCCCAAAGGAGGTCACTTTATCTGTCCCTCTGCCTCCAGACAACCATGCCAGACACCCCTGGTCTCCTTGAGGCAAATGTATGGCTTCTATCTCTCCACTGGGCTCTTTCTGAGCTCCTGTAACACCATCAGGGCCCTGACCTTTTTCTTGCTCCCTTCGCCTTCCCTGAAGCCTGTATCCCTGCATTTAAGCCGTCTGAAATTTACTGAGCATTGCCTGTGAGCTGGGCACTGTGCTGGGCACACTGGAGGAGGCAGAGATGAATAAGGCTCAGTTCCTGCCTTCAGGGGGCTGACTCAGCCTAGCAGGGAGGCCCAAGTATACCTGTGAGATGATCTCCACCAATACCAGGTAAAAGATGGTCCAGACAGGAGGTCAGAGGAGGGAGGAAGGTTTCTGGGTCGTGGCTGCGTGTGCTGGAGTAGAGGGCAGGCCAGAGGTGTATTGAGGAGGCTGGAACTTAAACCAGACTTTGAAAGATGGGCGGGGAGTCCAAGAGAGCCCTAGAAAGACCCTCTGAGCAGAGACAATGATAGAAGTTAGAAATGAATCATTGATAATAGCTTTTATTGAGTGCTTACTGTGTACCACGAGCTATGCTAACAACTTACAGTGAATAGTTACTGAATCTTTATAACAAAGCGATGAGGTAGGTGTGTTATCGTTCCCACCTCACAGACAGCAAACTGGGGTTCTGATAAGTTGCCTGCCTAGATTCTCACAGCAAGTAAACGGCAGAGCTAGGATTTGAACCCGGTTATGTCTGATACCAGAATGTGTGTTCCCAATCACTACACACAAATTCACTTACATACAAAGGAAACTGTTTTTTGAAACAAGCCTCCTCCTTATCTGCCTAATTGCTAACCAGTCCCCAAGCCCTGTCCTCACTCGCTTTGAGTGCGTTCTCGGAGCTGCGGGTCACCACTTTCCACGAGATGTGTATTAATCTCCCTATCATGCACATGCAACATACTTAGTAAGTACTTTAGGTGCATTTTCCCATTTGGTCCCCAAAACACCCCAATAGTCCAGCCACCATGACCATCCCCACTTGGTAGAAGAGGAAACTGAGGTCTGTTAGAGAAGTAAAGTCACTGGCCAAAGCCAATGGAAAGCCAGCAGGAAGGGGCAAAGCCAGGACAGAGGAGCCCCAGGTGACCCAAGCCCGAGCCCCCACAGGTGAGGGATGGAGAGCAGACTGTAGGGACAGATGGAGAACTGGCTGGTCCGGGCAGAGGTCTGGGGTGCTGGGCAGAGTGGCTGGCTGTCTCCACGCCGTCCTTCTTGCTTTCCCCTCAGCTGGGTCGGCTATCAGTATCCTGGCTACCGCGGATACCAGTACCTCCTGGAGCCTGGCGACTTCCGGCACTGGAACGAGTGGGGGGCCTTCCAGCCACAGATGCAGGCCGTACGCCGCCTGCGCGACAGGCAGTGGCACCATGAGGGTTCCTTCCCCGTCCTAGCCACCGAGTCCCCCAAATGAGCCCACACTCCACTCGTCTCCCCCGTACCACCCCTTCCTCAGGCTAAATTTCCCCGTCTTTCCCATGCAAATAAAAGTTCCTAAAGCTGAAATGTCTCCTGGGTCTGTGAACAGATGTGCACCTTGACAGCCCACATCATTGCTGCCACGTGACTTCCTGAGTCTTGATCATCATCATCATCATCAAAACAGCAAGGCCTGCAAAGTACTTTATACACATTCTTAGCATATCTTTTGGACTACTCTAGGAGGTCAGTATTATAATTATTCCTATTTAACAAGTGAGGAAATTGAGGCTCAGAGAGGGAAAGTGACTAGCCCAAGGTCACACAGTGAGTGGAGATTTCAGCCCAGGCCATCTGTCTCCAGAGCCTGCACTCTTAAACAAATCTGTGTTTTCAAGCTCTGCTCCTTCAGGCACCACTCCCATGATTTTTTACCCTCTCTGCTTACCATCTGTTTTGTTATTTACTTAATACTTTTATTTAAATAGACTTACTATTTTGTGCATAAATGCATTGATTTGTAAATAAAACTTTATAACACTATAGGGAGACGGAAAATCAGCATCATATGCCATAGATAGAAAGCAATCATATAAATAAATACAATTTAAAGAAGGGCCAAGTATTGAATTCTCAGCAGACACCACTGCCTGCTGAAGGCTGTCAGCCTGCAGCACTCTGTGACAAAAGGAGTGATTAGCAAACTCTGGAGAGAGGTATGAAAGACATGTTTGCACCAAACTAAGATTTTTCTCCTTCATTTAATCAAAGAAGATTGAAAAGAGCATTATTTCCTTGTATCTGATTCAATGTTATTTAATCCTGGGTCCAGGTTCCACCCAGAATCATCTCTCCTACTAGGAATGGTACATGCCCTGCTCTTTGGAAATCTGCACCAGGCAATATCGACTCCCATATCAACAGTTAGCATTGACTGATGTTATTAACCTTTAATCCGTGCAGGAAGGCTGGGGAGGTGTTGCCATGGGTATCTCCCTTTGGGCCTGGGGCTATTTGAAGGGGGCTGCCTCCAGGCGGGAGAAGATGACAGAGAATGGGGGAGATGACGTTCCAGGCAGAGCAAACAGCAGGGGTCCTGCCACCCCATGTGACACCTTTGTGCAAATGATAAAAAGATGCCTTTTCCTCAAGACATTTTACCGCCATCCACCAGAAATTATTGGTATAAATCTGTGATGTCTGCAACATGCATGTGGCACCCTTGTGCTGTGCCCAACTTGCACAGATGTACTTGGCAGCCCTGGAGTGCCATGGGTAAAGGCAGAGAGGTTGAGAGAGCTTGTGGTGGGTCCAAGCGAAGCTTGTTGAGGTGGGAGCAGTAGTTTGGTGGTTGTGGGCAGAAGAGGGGGGTGGGAAGGAGATGCTGAGTGTGGCAGGAGATGAAGCTGGAAAGAAAGGTGGGGCCTGGTGACACCCCACTCTGTGGTTTTGCTGAGCTTCAAAGTTGAGGCACCACCTCACATAAAAGGTCTTACCCTCTGGGGCAGGCACCCTCCCTCTTCCTCCCACCCAGTTCTCCCAACCTCCACCCTCCCATGTGACCAGCATCTTGGGTTAGAAGACAGGTTGTCCTGTCTTGGACTAGAAGACAGGATTCCTGCGCAGGAGTCAGGAGATACAGGTCTTAGCCCTGCTCTACTCTTAGAAACTACAAAGTGTTGGGCAAATCGCTTCCACTCCCTGGGACTCATTCTTCCCGTCTGTCAAACAACAGCTGAAATGTTCATCGAGCCTCGAGATTCTGACTCTGGGATTCTCTCGTTCCAAAGTTCCATGATTCTCCAAGACTCTGTCATTTATCTCTAAGCGTCCATGGTTCTCTGATTCCAAAATCAAGCTATATAGATTCCCATCCTCAGCTCCTAAGGTCGGGGAGCACAGCTCTATAATTCTCCTGTAGTGCAGTCAACCTTCCAATCACATGAGCCACATGAATTCAACTTTCACATGTCTTCAACCTAAGACCTCACTGATGGCAAGACGCACCATGATTTTATGATCCAAGGACAAAAAGAGAAATACTATCCATTCAAATACAATGCAACTGCCTTCTGATCCCTTAGAATTTTTATTTCACATTTACTGAAAGAACTATTTTGGACTTATTTTGACATAATAGTTTTTTGTTCAGTGTATCAATCTTCTGAGTCTTAAAAAAGAGAACAATAGAAATTCATCAGTTAAGTTAGTCCTAAAACTTCTTTGTGTTCATAGTCTTATTCAAAACTTTTTTATTTTTTTGGTGAGGAAGACTGGCCCTGAGCTAACATCTGCGCCAGTCTTCCTCTATTTTGTGTGTGGGCTGCTGCCACAGCATGGCTTGATGAGCGGTGTGTAGGTCCGTGCCTGGGATCAGAACCCACGAACCCTGCGCCGCCGAAGTGGAGCATGCGAACTTAACCACTATGCCACCAGGCTGGCCCTGTGTTCATAGTCTTGATCTTCCAGATTACTTTCCACTCAAAGTTGTCGATGTCCTTTTTTTCCCACAGGTGTTGTATGAAAGAAATATGCATATTAGCATTGCCAAAACATGATACATACACTTGGCAAAACCAACCAACAAAAACCGAAAGAAAATAACAAAGTAATTATTTTGCTTTTAACTTACTGTTTTATCAATACATTTATTTAACTTTAACAAATTTATGAATAGACAAAACACGCTGTAATAAAAAACAGAGAACAAATAAAAATTACAAGCATAAATAAATAACAAAGATAAAAAGAACCAAGTAAAAGAAAATAACATGTCAAAAGGTCGGGAGCGAGTGTGACATAAGCATCATAAACCTGTTGTTTCCTCTGTGGTTCCTAGTTCCAACACGCCTCTCGAAACGTGAGCATCTCACCACCTGGAACAGACTTTCAGAGCTTAAAGACAAGTCACTTCTTTTGCCTTGAAACCGAAACTTGGAGTTTCGACTTCATCAGGTGCTCAGCAGAAGAAAGGCTGATGGGCAGGATGCTGGAGGCGACCAGAGCAGCTGGCCTCGGCCAAGTGGCCGTGGTGCCCACAGCCTTCGCGGGGGCTTCTTGGTGCCGGTTTTGCCCTAAACACTGGCTCCAGAACGCAATGCCTGGGCAAGCTGGGGCATCACTGTGTTTCAACGCTAGATCCCAGCCTGCGACTCTGAGTCGCAGGGCTTTGGGAAGACAAAGCACCTGAGTTATGGAGCATCATCTCCTGTCCATGGCAACCGGAGGTAACCTACAATATTTTGGGCATTAGCGCATGGACCCAAAGTCAGCAGTGTGTGTGCATGGGGGGGGGCAGGCGGACCACCCAGAGGCGTGACCCCTTTTGTTGCCAGCACCAGATGCTGATGGACACACAGCAACTGAGTTTTGGGAAAACAGCATGGTGCCGGAGTGCCCTGAGGAGGTTCTAGAGAGATGAGCATCTCTTTAGAGCCACGTTGCCATGACAGCCAGTCACCTGGATCAGATGCCCAAGATCAGAGTGCTTTGTGAAGCCTGGGTAGCCAGCAAGGAATGGTAACTCCACATCCTTCCAGCAGAAGGGAACCTGCCCCTCTATCCTAGCTTCCCGCCCACTGCTGGGCCACCGCCTTCCACCACTGCACTGACTTTCCATCTCAGCTCCTATATTTACTAGCTGTTGCCCTTGGTCGAGTCAAATTACCTGATGGAGCCTCTGTTTCTTCGTCTGTAAAATGGGAGTAATGATAATCAAACCTCCGAAGGTTGTCGGGAGGAGTAAATGATCAGTGTGAATATAATACTTATAAGGCGCTCAGAGCATCGCAAGCACCCGAATCATCAGCAGCAGCATCTTCTCGAATGTCAGAGCCGGAAAGAGTTTTAGAATCAACCTGTTTGATACCACATTTATTCATCCTGCTTTCAACAAATATTGACTAACGGCCTCCTAAGTGCCAGGCTTTGTCCAGATGCAGGGGAGACGGGTTTGGGGAGAAGACAGAAGAGGCTCCTGCCCTCGTTGTTCACAGACCGGAGGAGCAGACAGGACTGAGCTGGTTCATCTGCCTTTGAAGCCACATCCAATTACCAGGCTGCATGGTCCAGCGTCCGTCCCACCAGGATATCCTAGGGGGTGGGCAGGCTGCCTCAAGGACGGAACAGCCAGCTTGAGACCTGAAGGGGTTTGCTGAGTTGGGAGACTGAGAGGAGAAGGCCCGATCTAGAAACCAGAAGATCATTCTGGTCCCCTTCTTTCTTGAGCCCTGCCACTGAGATCTGCTGATTCTGTCTTCCAAACATCTCTGGAACCTGAACACTCCCTCCGTGCCCCTGGCCCTGCCCTGGGTTGGCCACTTCCCCAGGAGTATTTCAACAGACTCCAAACCAGTGTCCCCGCCTGTCTTCCTCCACACAGCAGCTAGAAGGATCTTTGCAGAAAGCGAAGCTGACCATGTCCTTCCCCTCTGAAGACCTTCCATGTCTCTCCACTGCTGCAGGATGAAGTCCTGACTCCTGCCTATAGCCCACACAGCCCTGTAGCATCCAGCCCCTGCAGGCCCCTCTGACCTCCTCGCCACCCCCCCACATCCTGTCCACTGTGCACGTCATGAACGGCCCCACGACAAAGGTCCTTTCCACCGGACCTTCGCACCTGCGGCTCCCTGTGACCCGCTCTTCTGTGAAACCACAACCACGCCCCCGGCCTCGGTGTAAACATGGAGTAGAAACCCCCTGGCCCTTCCTCCCTGGACCAGCTCCATCCCCCTGTTCCCAACTCCCCAGTGCTTGTTGGAGGGTCCTGCCTCCCCTACTTGGATGCAAGGCCCTAAGTCCTCCCCTTTCCTGCTGACCCCCAGCGCCCAGCACAAGGTGCTGAGGAGATGCTGTTGTAGAATGTTATTAAACATACGGCCCCTTCAGACCTTTTCCCTCTATCCCCATTTCTCCACCCACAAAGGGACATTTTAAACACCCAGCAGGGTTCCTGAGGTCAGTGGTACAAAGCCTCTAATATGTGCACAGTAAACGTTAGATAATATTGCTTCCAGACCAGGAACAGCTGGCTCCCTGCAGGCAGAGGACTTCAATTTGTCCGTTTCAGCACTTTCTGCACAG